ATTCTCAAGAAGACAGACCAATGGTCTGTCGAAACATGTAATATGTATTAAATTATGTAATCTGAAGAAGAAAGATCAATGCTCTGTCGAAACAAGTAATGTGTATTAAATTATTTAATCTGAAGAAGACAGACCAATGCTCTGTCGAAACATGCAATCAGTATTAAATTAATTCGTTATCCTTACAAATTGTTGTCTTACATATACAAGATTTTCTTTCGTACTCAGAATTACGCAAAGGATATTTCAAAGTCACTTGTTTTCGCCCCATCTAACGGTAAAAATCAGTAAGAAATCCAACACGCAGAGAGCAGTTCTAACAATTGCCATTATAATCAGAAAGATATCTAATTCATAGAAACTATCGTTTTTATGTAGATTCAAGTAGCATACAAGTGAGTATATGGAGAAGTAAACCAATCTTTAATTCCTCAGCCTTTAAAACAAGAAACAAACATTATTCCACTGCTTTAATCATATATACATTGTAAGTATATTTATTTAGTTATATCGAAGGCCAGGTTGGTTTTTAGCTTTGCTGTAAGTACATAGCTTACTCTGATTTTAAGTTGTTATTACTATATTACTGGAACATTTATAGTATTTTGGGGCCACGTTTTAGACCAGGATATAAGCGTAATGATATATAGGCCGTTGTAATTATGCGTGTAATTGCTTAATAATTTCTTAATTAATAAACATATCATTATTTCTTGAAAAATAATAATGCTAATAATAAGGGATATACCGTTCAGATTTTCATTAATGGTATAAAATATACTAATAAGGGATATACCGTTCCGATTTTCATTAATGGTATAAAATATAATAATAAGGGATATACCGTTCCGATTTTCATTAATGGTATAAAATATAATAATAAGGGATATACCGTTCCGATTTTCATTAATGGTATAAAATATAATAATAAGGGATATACCGTTCCGATTTTCATTAATGGTATAATATAATAATAAGGATATACGTTCCGATTTTCTATTAATGTATAAATATAATAATAAGGATAT